AAAGTCGATGTCCGAAAATAAACTTACGGTCTTAACGCATGGCCCGCACCGCCCAGACAAAAAAAAAGAGTCAGGAGTCCGCACCGCCGCCGCCGCCGCCGCCGCACATCTTGCGGTTTCCCTGGAAGAGCAAGCCGCCAGAAGATCGGCGAGCCCCAGAGATCAACACCTCGGGGCAATCTGCGCGTTTCCCATCAGGAAAGTGAGCTCCACCCCCACATTACCATATGCACGCAGGCACTCCTCAGGATGAAGAAAAACGGAGGGGGGGGAAACCATTTCAAACACGCCCCCCTCCCTTCCCGGCCGCCGCTGCCGCCACCGCTTTATTGCCGCTTCGCCCACACGCTGGGCCGGCTAGCGGGAGGAGCGACACCTGTCGGCAGCGAGGGGCGCGGCAGGATTCAAGCTGGGCAACAGCCTGGTAGAGCTGGCACCGGAACGGGAGGGAGGGAGAGAGAGAGAGAGAGAGAGAGACCAACGGGGGGCTTTGTAGGCCCCCCCATGCACTGCCTCCACATGGGGGACTCCTACACCTCCCCCTCACGTGGTGAAGTGTCCCGGGTTGGTTGCTGAAGGCGAGACAGGGACATGGCCTCTCTGCCCACAACGAAAATATCCGACATATTTTGCATTGGTCAAACCCAAAGGACGCCCCCGCCCCCGTGGAAACTTTCAGCAACTTCTTCGCCTCAAAAAAAATGCCTTTAAATGAAAGGCCATGAAAGAGTTCTCTTGTTGCTTCTACCTGTGAGCTGCTGTCCTTGAGCGTCTTTCTTGACTGGCGGCAGCTGTTCAACCAAGCAAACTTTCAGCCGGTGAGAATTTCCTCCCCACTGACTGGATAAGGAACAAAATCCTGCAGCCAGGCTGGCTGGAGCTTGTGGCTTTTCCCAGCTCTGGCCTCAAAGCCTGGGAAAACATCTTCAGCTGAATTTCTGCCTTGTCACACAGTTGTAAGAGCAGACAGGAGACTCCTCTTGGTCAAAGGGGTGGAGAACAAGCTGGCAAGAAATGTGATGGAAGAATTGTTCCGTTTGCTGAGATTTGCATCCTTGCTCATGCTGAAGGGCCAAAATTACTCATAGCTCCTCTCCAGATATACAACTGCCCAGACAGACAGTACTGCTTTATTCAGGGCACCAAGCACCAAAGCTGCAACTAGGTACTATTTTTTACTTATTTATATGTGCCAGTTACATTTATGTGTCACCTTTCCCATGACTGGGGTTCATAGGCGTCTTTTTCCTCACCTTATTGTCACAACAACCTTATTGTCAGGTAAGTGAGGCTGAGAAACATCATTGGCCATCCACTGAAGTCATGGTTGGGTGAGACGTCGGTGGATCTCCAGAGTCTCACAATCCTCCTGATTGACCTCTACTGCAGAGATGATCCAACTCTCCAGCCTGGAGAGTTCCTCCTGATTGACCTCTACTGCAGAGATGGGGACTATGTGGCCTTCTAGATAACGCTTGACTGGAACTAGCATTAGCCCTGGTCATCATGACCCATGGAGAAGACTGAATGGAGCTGCAGTCCAGTAACATCTGGCAGTTCACAATTCCCCTGTCCCAGCTGTACCAATACTCAGCTTCAGTCATTCATAAGTATAGGACAGTGGTTCCCAACCTTGAGTAAACCAGGTGTTCTTGGATTCCAATCCCCAGGAATCCTGTCCAGCACAACTGGTGATGAAGGTTTCTGAGAATTGTAGTCCAAGAACATCTGGGTTACTCAAGGTTGGAAACCACTGGCTTTGGACTAGGGTGGGAGAATGGTGATGCAAAAACGTTGGTAGTACAGCAGCTGTGTCTTGTCTCAGAGAATGGAAAAGTACAGGCATCATCTTCACTGACATTATTTGTCTGCCAGGGAAATCACTTAATCCATTGTACAGGTTGATCAACTGGGGTTAAGAGACTCCAGTTTATTACAGTTTCCTCAGGAAATGTATGTAGGAGTGAGGAGAGGTGTGCTTGCAGGTCTCAAGGTCCAACATTAACTACTGGATTGCAGACCATAACGTTACAGTATTCCTAGGTGTTTTTTTTTTCCTCAGTCAAACAGGTACTTTCATGGATTTGCTCCCACGGAAGCAGTAGTCCTCAACTTTGGCCCTCCAGATGTTTCAGACTTCAACACCCAGAAGATCTAGGCAATACACCTACCTAGTGATCAAGGATTTGGGGAGTAGAAGCCCAAAAACATCTGGATAGTCAAAGAGTGAGGATCACTACAAAATAAAACTTCTGTAGCTGCAGTAGTTTATACAGTACCTGAGATGAGGGGGGTATAATGTAGCATTTAACACCATGTATAGGTGTAATTCAAGAGTTGTTATTTATCCTTTATGTGGCATGTTGAATGTTCAGGTAATGACATAAATAATGCAATTTATAACAACTTTGCCAGGCAGGTATTATTGTACTTATATTGGCTGAAATCCTATTGCTTGGCATGAGAAAACTTGTAACTTTCATCCCATTCGTAATAGAAATAAAGAGTCTGCTCACAATTCTTGAGGTCTGTGAATGCATGCTGGCTAGCATGTGAGAAGTGCAGCAGATAGTTTTAAATAGCTAGTTAGGAATGATCAGAAAGTTAAGAATCTTCTTATGCCAAGCAATAGGATTTTGGCCATTTTGATGGGTAGTATGACCTGGCATATACAGCTGCATGTTTTTTTTTTCCTTTGCAGCTGGACTTCTGGCTTATTTTGTCCTGATCATTTGGTAATTTGTTGCCTGCCAGATGTTGTTAGAATCAAAGTCCGATCAGGTTCAATCAGCATGATTAACGGGATGATGGGCATTGAAGTCCCATGGCAACTTAAGGTACATTTGTCTTCTCCACCCCATCCCAACAATAAACGTATCTCTGAAAAGAAGTCTTATTGAGTCTAGAACTCTGGATAGACTTGTGCTAATAGCCACTATTTAGGCTTTAATACAATTGTGTCATCTTCTGCATATAAGGAAGGGACTGTGTTTACTATTCTCATTCAGAAATGGTATGTCTGAAGAGGAAACCCTGCTCTGTCTTTGGCCACTGTAGAGGTGAGCAGTACTTCTATGAGATTGCTTATAGCTGGGTCAGAGAGATTTCCGGACAGATGGAAGGGTTGATTTAAGGGAGATTGCTCCTTGCAAAATGACCCTTTCCGGTGTGATTGTATGTGTGCCTTTCCTATCATCTAATCTCACACAGGGTCTCCTGCTCAGACACACTGCTTCTATATGAAGAAATGATGGAGCCTCCTTGTATGCAAAGTCCACACACATATCAGCACTCGAATTGGGTTTATATCATGCCTGCACATCAAATTAATGGTGTGCAAGATTTTTTTTTCATGGGAAATTCCAAGGTGACTGCTCTTGCTGTTAAGCTTTCAGGAAAGATGTCTTCAATTGCTCCTATGAACAGGCTGAAGAGATTGTTTTTTGATAGCCTATGATTGCGGAAGAAGGAGATTTATTTGGCCATCTCTCTGAATTCTTAAACATGACAGATGTCAGCTGGCATGAGATGAGGAGAATTCAGATGAATGCGCTGCATTTGAAATCCCATCAGAACTCATACAGCCTCCAGAGATGCATGCAACCCATTGTTCCTTTCCTCAGCCTTTAATTAACATGGAAATTATTTTTATGACATCTCTGTGAATGTGGATTATTTATGATTCCTGATAAGCAAGTTGGGAAGAAAGAACTGCATGTAAAGCATTAGCAATATAAAAAAAAATGTGCCTTGTCTTTGTTACAAGTCTTTGCTAACTCTAATACAGTAAACAAACACATGAGCACAACCACAGTATTTTCCCTATGGGATACAGGACAAGCTGATTGAAGATTTGTCTTGATCAAAAGTAGCTATGTGATACGGGCAGAAGAATCACACAGACCAGTCTCCTTGAATGGTGCATGTTCCAGATGTTGGTTTGCAGCTCCCAGAACCTCCCCAGCTAACATAATCTATATAGCACACCAGGTGCGGTGACTCCAAAAATCATAGCCCAAAACGTCTGGATGCTATCTTCTTGGTAAAGTCTGACCCAGGTCAGTTCCCCATAATAGAAGTGAGATAGGCCCCTTGAAAACTTATGCCAAACAAAATATATTAGTATTTAGGGTGCCTCAAGACTTTGGTGTTGTTTTTTCCCTGCAATACACTAACACAGCTTTTTCCTTGGAAAGTTTTAGCTGCTGTGGTACCACTGAAAATGTGACCCACTATAGACAAGGAGACCTGTTTGGTGGCCACTCCCAGGTTATATATCATGGGAGTCTAGGCAGGTCCTCTATTTAATCAGGTGAGTTTTCAGCAGCATATAGTCTGATTCTACTTTTAACAGGAAAGTGTTGTCCTTTTTATTGTGGTTTTTTAACGTTACTTAAGTATTACAGTTTTTGTTTTCTTGGCTAAAATCCAACTGGTGCTCACATAACATTGCATGAATTACCACTGTTCATTGCAGTAAATTCAGAAGGTTCCAGAATGCATCTCAGTTGCACAATCGGGTATTTACCTAGGCATGCAACCAAGGTATGGGCCAGTACCTTCCATGAACACCATGGACGGTGCTGGTTGTTGAGTTGTAGCATTACACCTTTTTGTAGTTTTCTCTACCTGTTTGTAGTCCTTCTGAGAAGTGCTCTCAGCTTTGGTTTGCGAATAAAGGCAGGATACATTTAAAATAGGTATAAAGCACCATGCTTCGGTATGCAACAGGCCAGAACAGTGTTATTCCATGAAATGGGATTCTAATATGCAGTTATGTAAATGAGTCAGGATTCACAAGATCAGACTACAGTGGTGCCTCGACTTCCGAACGCCCCTGCCTACGACCATTTCGAGTCATGATCAGCTCCGGTCGCAAAATTTTGCTTCTACTTGCGAACGGAGCTGCAACTTACAAACAGAAAAAGGCAAAAGGGGGGAAAGGTGGGAAATTCAGTGAGAAATTCAGATTTCTAACTGTAGATGGTGATGAGGCTGTTCCTTTGTAGCTCTTCCACCCCAGCAGGGAGGAGGTTTGGGACTGTCTCCTTCTGCTTCTGAGAGCATGTGTGTGTGTTTGCAGAGAGGCTTTGGGCTGCCTTGTAAACTAAGACGCTGTTTTCTGCTTTTTAAAAACTGTTCTGGGTGTTTTTTGCAGCATGGTTTTGAGCTGGGGGGTTTAACTTTCTGTGCTGCAATGGGTCTTGGGGGGTTGTTTGTTTGTTGGATTTTCCCCCTCATTTCTGATGGGTCTTGGGGAGTTTGTTTGCTTTTTTCCAGAATGCATCTCAGTTGCACAATCG